CCCTTCACAGGAGACGATCATCATCGCATTGCCCTCAAAGCATCACTTCAAGCTTGGGAGCTTCCGCCTAAAATCACCAACTAACCGTCCACTTTCCACCCGCATCAGGCTTTGGTGAAGCCCTCTTCCAACTACGTGACCACCTTCTTCTCACCCATGGCCTCGACGACCTCGAGGGTTCCTCTACGTCGAACACCTTCATGTCCCTCCAGCTCCTGCAGCGCGCTGTGGCCCTCTTCCGCTCCCTCCACCTCCCGGACGACGAGAAATGGCAGGATGAGTGCATGGACGAAAGCTCGCGACTTTCGAACTTCTGCCACGTGATCAAGCTCGGCGTCTCGGGCATGGAGAATTACTGCTCTGCTGCAGCTGACATGATCTCCTCGCTCGACCAATGGCGCCACAACCCCACTTCCTGCCTCACTCAACAGGCCTCGAATGGCTTCCAAGCTCTGTTCTTGCACTCTCCTATGTATAGTAGCTCAAATTCATATCCTTGGGCTTGTTAAGGTGTTGTGGGCGATCTGTATGAGCCAGAGAGAAGCCATGAACAGAGCAGTAGTGGAGACGAGGATCGAGCCCATGTGGCTCCGCTTCGATGACAGGGCGTCGTCTGTGGAATTCGGATACAGTGGATTCAATGGCTTCAGAGGCGTGCTCTGCCGGTTGAGGAACGCCAGCTCTCTCTGCTCATGATTTTGCTATGGGGATCGGTCAGAATTCATGGTCTCCGTGGCGAGGCTGCAACAGAGGGTGGCTGATGGGAGGGAAGGAATGGGCGGCCGAGTTCCAGCAGGCGAGAGAGGGAAGAGAGCTGGAACCACGGGACGTGGATCAGAGATCGCCGGAGGAAGCCTGGAGCAGAAGGTGGAGGAATCGAAGGGGTGGTTCGGAATGCCGAGGGCTTGAACTGAGAACCTCGTGGGACAAATGGATGATTAACGATTTCTTTGATGAGAGAGATTGTGGAGGGAAGAAGGGAAGTATTGGATCAGGCAGGTAGAACCGCCGGAAGCATACGAGAAAAGGAGGCTTCCTTAGATATTTAGTGTTTTTAACTTTGATGAACGAAGACCGCAGAAGAAGGGACCAAACAGGCATTTCGTTGCGTGAAAGATAAGAGAGAGAAAGGAAGCTTTTCTCCTCTTCTTTCCACTATTTCTTTTGTTTTTTTGCCGGTGGTGATCAGCTGCTTTCCTTCTTTCAGGGGAAAGGTGAGGTTGTAGATTAGCACTACTTAAAAAAGTCGAAAAAGGAGACAGGCATTATTGGATCCGTGGGAACTTTTGTGAGACCTGATGCATGTCCGACGGATGGAGATCGTGATGAAAACAGCTTTCTGGGGGTAGCAGAGTGGGGGGGTTGAGATCCTTCCTCCACTTTGAGAGGTCAAAAAAGGAAGACGTGAGAGCCACTCTTTCTTTCTTTCTTTCTTATAGGATCAACTTAAAAAATCCAGGAGACAACCGAGCGTTATTATTGAGGGAAGATGAGAACCTTCTATTTCCGCAAATCTCAGAGACAATAATGCTCAGTGATTGACGAAACAAGTGCACAGATGTGACAGGTAAAATCTTGAAGGTTACATAAGATTCGGTCGACAGTGATAACCACCAAATATGCTGTTCAAATCAGCAGGAGAATTCAGCCAGCCATATCGATCCTGCTGCACTCACGATCACCAGCTTAACAAATCTCAGTGGCACCCTCCTTTCAGGGAATAGCAATAGCTTAAGATCTTCCACACATGTAACGATACTCTTATCGTTGCAAAGACCAGACATTAGCAAGTTGTATACTCTCGTCGAAAGCAGGTAGGCTTGCCAATCGACCAGCTATTTGTACAACCAAAGCGGTTGAATTAGAGTCTCTTTTTCTATAGTGATCCGTGGATATGTTGGGGGTAGAAAGGTGGTTCAAACCAAATGCTTAAAATTATATATTTAAGCGAAACGAACAATTTAGTTTCATCATGGCAACAAATCTAAGAAGTCCAAGACTAGATCGTCAGGAATAGCCTCCTCTTTGAGGTTTCAAAGGAAGCATAAAAATTATCGAGTAATGAGCATGAGGACAACCAACCTACAGGTGGGAGGGGATTATTCGATTTGTTCTGGCTCATCTATGGACACCCCAAAAGGTGTGCAAAAATCACACCTTCAGCCTACCATAGAATTTCTGCTTCTCCTGAGTAGTCTGGAAGCGCCCATGTCCGAACTTGGAAGAAGTATCGATGAACTTCAGCTTGATCTCCTCGAGGGCCACGCGGGAGGTTTGCTTCAGTAGGGATTGACGAAGCGTAACGACCCTCTTTTTCGGCCCCACACAGCAACCCTTGATCATGAGATAGTCATCTTTCACAATACCATAGTGCGGGAATCCACCCATGGGCGTAATATCTTTCTCCGTTCTGTTCCACAAGCCAAAAAGAAAATTAAGTGTCATACTCATTCTTCGCTATATCTATAGACTAAATGCATCTTAATGCAACAGAATTGAGATGACATGGGCAAAAATACCGTGTGCCAATCAAAGACAACTGAGCATTGCTCAACATTTGACTTAAATGTTTATATATGAGCATCTGTAGGAACACCTTCTGAGAAAAAACTTCAAAATAAAGCAAAACAGATAATAACAAAAGAGTATAGAAATAACCTGTCAAACTCTGTAACAGCAGTGTGTGACTCATCTCCAGCTTTACCAATTTTGTATATCTTTTTGTTCATTTCAGTACGGTGGTGGTAGCCATTCTGTCCAGCACGGGCTACAGTGTAGGATACCCTGGCAGGATGCCATGCACCGATACAGGCAACCTTGCGCAGTCCCCTATGTGTCTTGCGCGGGAGGCGGGTGACACCCCAACGAGTCACCACACCTTCGTAACCCTTACCTTTGGTGACACCAATAACATCGATCATCTCATCTTTCTGAAATACAGCATCAATGGGGATTTGCTTTTCAAAGAAGCTGTATGCATAATCCACTTTCTGCGCCACAGTCCCTCCATTAACCTGGATCTCCATCAGGTGAGCTTTTTTCTGTTTCAGACCCTTCATCTTCCTTATCTGAGACAAAGAACAGGGCAGAGAGAATCATAGGCCAAGTCTAGTAAACCAGTAGCAGAAAACAACAATTTCAAGCTGATCTTTATCAATAATAACTGACCCACCAGCACTCTATGCTAAATCACCATTTTCAGCCATCAAATGTCAAAGAAAACAGAATGCATGAAATTCAATAAAACACATCATATCCCCTACAACAAAGTCTTGACAGAAAGTTCATTGGATTCGCAAAAACTATAGAACTCTTCTAAACATGTTTCATATTGCTAAAAGAATATCCATTGCTCAAACACCTTATGCTTCTCGTTGCCTCTACCAAACAAAAAAATGAAAGACACTACTCAATATACATTGTTATCCGTACTCATAAAAAATCAGAAGTTATCAGGATGTTCCATGCAAGAATGAGTTTTAGCTCAGATAGAGACAAGTAGAAAGCTAAGTTGAGATCGCGACGTCAGTTTCTGAAAAAACATGTTTGGCCTTAATTTACTTCACAGCTTAATCTCAACAAATCTGCTGGCCTACAACCAAGAAATTTAATCACAATGATCTTGTGAGCATATTCTTTAAGAAGGCAGCATCCCACTTTTCATTGTGATGCTCACAGCTGCTGTATTTATGATGTACAATAACTGCTAACTAAAAATGCACTTAACAAGGGTAGTTTGGTAGCCATAAAATAAATGCATATCAAGAAAGCACTTAACCAAAATAAAACTGATAAATAGGTGAATCATGTCCATTTGATTAACCTGAGTGTGGGCCAGAACACGGATAACAGATGCATATTTCTTCATCTTTTCCAGCTGTGTCTGAATCTCTTTCTTTCCCTCCTCACTTTCATATTTCTTAGAGTACTTCGTAAAAGCCTTCTTCTTGCTTTTGTACCAGCTCTTGTAGAATCTCCTCCTTACTTCCTCACTGAGATGCTGAGCCCATACAGTATTAAGAGACCGAAGACCCCGTGGAGTCTTCACATAAGCAACAACACCAACAACAACCATTGGTGGAGTTTCTACTATGGTCACAGCCTCACATGTCTCCTTCTTGTGGAGCTCTGGAAAGAACAAGACGAAATAACAATGCAAGCATCAGCATATGGGTTTCCAGTTGAAGATCAACGATAGTGTACAGAAAGCAACAGGTTAGAAAAAGCAGACCACTCGCAATATTGACAGAAATTGGCATGATGCTAGAAGTGTATGATCCAATGGATATAAACCAAAGGAGACACAACTATAAGTGTATGCGACTCCTTTTCTTTGTGTATCGAGTACATCAATATGACACTCGAAGACAATGAGTAAAATGAACCTAAGCATTGATACTGGTCAACTGTCTTAAAATGGCACTATGCTAACAAGGAATTAGCAAGAAAATTGATGATAAATTATCTCAAAAAGCTTTTTACTTATCAGACTCCATTTTTCTCAAGTTTTGCAAGCCGATTTGCAGTTAATTCAAGGCTCAACAAATATAAGTTCAATTTCAAAGCATAGAAAAATAAGCATGCTCTGACTAAAATCTTCTGGAAACATGATAGGCTATATAACAAAATTAGATTAATGAACACGTACTTGACCCTGGTTTGTCGACCTCACGTACAATGTGAGTCATTCCAGACTTGTAACCAAGGAATGCGGTCAGCCTGCAGGATTTAGTTGGGTCATCTCTGGGAAAGGACTTCACTGCATTGAAAAATCACATATAGTATTCAGAATGTCAACTTGGTGTATCACCAATGGAAGCAATCAAAATTAAAGACCAAAACCAATTCAGTTAAGCCTACAGCCTACATAAGAAACTTGTTGAAGTACACTGGACATGAAAGCCAATAAAAATTAGCAGAGAACATACCATTTTTAGATAACAATAGAAAACCTAATATTATTAGGCATTGTGTTTTTGCATGCTAAGGACAAACTTCAATATAGCTAGAAAACATATTAGATATTCTGTGTACAGCAGAGAATAATCAGCATAGAATTTGAATGTGCCAAAATTTTAAAGGACACAATATAGGAAAGAGAGACAAATAACATGCATCAAAATCTGACCTTATCCAATCTAAGACATGAGTATCTAATCATATCTCACATAACCACTGCTAATCCAATTCTCAACAAGATATTTCCCGATCCAGATGTGGGTTAAATCCATCTGCATTCTAACATTTTGAATAGCAATCCAAGTACTAAAGTACCTAAAGTTACCAAAAAACATTATTGTTGTTTCCCAGGTATACTATAATTACCACATTTTTTTTATTCTAATACTTGCTTGTAATTTTCCAATAACAAGAAATATTGTCATTGAATTTGAGAAAATTCCTTACGAGTTGGTTGCTGAAAGATATGTTTCATGCATATCATATACAATCTGTATCCAAAATCCATCATCATGCACTACTATGGTATCAGCTTTTTAAGAAAAATAGTTGTAAATTATAAGATCTTTCTAACTTCTGAATTAAAATTCACGAGCATCTAAGAAATAAGTTTACAAGGTTAAATGAAACTTACTAAGATGGAGAAATGGCAACGATGACAACAAAACCATCAATAACAATAACCGCCCCAGTCGGGAGCAAGGGATAAGTGAAGTAATACCAAAGAAATTAGACGGCACGAGGCGTCACAAAACAAGAATGTGAGACAGAGTGATGCAAGATGGTGGTCGCATTCCGCAATACCTTTTCCACGGTGACGAGACGCTCGCTTCCGTGGAAGAAACCCAAGCGACCCATGCCTTGGGTGCTCAAACTTTCGGTGAGACATCCTCCTCACTCACCTAAAATCAAATCAACGAACACGAGTATGCCATCAGAAGAGTTCGATTATGCGAGACCAACAGCACCAACGAAAGAAATGAAAAGAACAAGATCGGCATCCTAGAACTCAACAAGTGTTCTCCCCGAAACATTCATCGCCACAGATCCAATCATCACAGTCGAAAAGTACACGAAATATCACGTCAAATAAAAAGAAAACAACGAAAAAAGAAGAACAATCGAACAGAACAAGCACCGAGATCGGAGGAGTGCCATCAGGTTCCTTACCTCCGGGTGACCGTGGCCGCACGGCTCTACGAACCCTAGCGAGCGCTTATATAGGGGTGGCGGATGCGGCAGGCGAAGCTCATCGTAGAATGACGATAACACCCTCCTCGCTTGCTGAATTCCCAAGCGCGTCATCTGTGGGATCATCGTCATCACAAATAAACGAATCTCGGCGTCTGACACGGCACAGGATTGTTCGTGGCCGTTGGATTAGAGTGGGCCGCATGCCACCGCAAGTCGGGTTGACTTCACCTGAGATCCGAAATGAAATAAAAAATGAGACTGCAAATCGCGAATCCGATTTCGAATCCGGAATCGAGTAAGTCCACATTTACATCAAATATTTGTCTAGTATCTATGCCTGATCCGATCCACTAAGGTTATTGGACTCGAGAAAAGGATCCATTGATCTGATCCACTAATTGGGACACACTGAAGGAAATGTGCAAGAAAAAAACCCGAAATATGAGGCTTTTTACTGTTTTCTTCTTTTTACCACAATGAATGGACTTGAAAATAAATCCAAAATCCATTTAATTATATTGGAAAAAAAGAAGCAGAAAATGAAAGAAAAAAAAAACATGAAAATTTATACAATTTGTGTGAGGAACTCCAAAATTCCTAAGACATCATATAATAAAAAGACTCAACACGCCAAACCCCACAAAGGAATTTTTTTTTTGTTTTGTTTTTCGAAGTCACAAAAGGAAAAATACACCAAATTAAACATCAAACCAATCCATTCAATTTGATTCGCGTACTCCAAACAATCTTAGCACTTGCAGAAACCGGCAAATCCGACGTCGCCCTCCTTCCATGGGGCTGATGGTTGACATTAATTTACAGTGTTCTTGATTTCCACCTTCCCGACTGTGTTGGATTCTTTCGCTCGTGCTTCACTGGTTTTCTTGGTTTCCGTCACCGCAGCTGTGTTCTCAGTAACGGTGGTTTTGGTTGCCACCGCGGCCGGCTTCTCGCAAGCGGCAGCATCTGCGGCCGCTGCAGGTCTCTCGACTTCCACCACAGGCGGCTCTGTCTTGGAATGTTGCTCGACCACATGCGCAGCTGTCTCCGTTTTGGATTCGACATTTGCTGCAGGTCGCACTGCGTCCGAAGGCTTTTCCTGTAGCAACCAACAGAATTATCTTAGTATGGACTGTTTAGGCTTCAAGCTTTGCAAATAAGCCCTGTAGTTTCTACCACAGTAGTTGCCTTCTCATCTGTTATGGTGCTTGCTGTAATCTCGTCTACTTGTTCCTCAGGACGCTCTGTTTTCGATTGCTCCGTGGGAGCAGCAGATTCTTTTACTTCTACCTGTCGACAAAGATCATCAAGGAAAAAGATAGCTGAAGAACCTGAAGCCTCATGCGATGAGAAATCACATTCCAACTTAGATACAAGTTGACGCAAATTGAAGCAAATCACATATCTTAATGCACCGGAGAGAAGCCCAATTCATGGTGATCTCGAGAATAACTGTACCTCTTTCAGAAGGAACTCAAGAGACTGGCGACTGTTCTCCCCTTCCACTTCACCGTAAGTTTCCGCTTGCTTTACGTCAACCACTATGGTTTCCTTCCCCTTCGTCTCAGTTGGCTCGGTTTCCCTCGTCACAGGCGCGTTTGTTTCCGCCTTCAGTACCTTAAACCTCGATGCACACGCACCCATCTCTCTCTTCTGTCTCTGTTCGTCTCTGTAAAGGAAGACGAGGAAGGACACGAGCTGTTGGATTGGTGGATTTCTCTGGGACTGGTGCCTTTATAACCCGCCTTCCCAACCACCGCTGTTGGTGCAGTCAGCGGACGCTCAAACGTGGGTACGATTATTGATGCAACTATGGCTGTCTTCAGCCTCTGCATCTCCATGGATGAACAACGGAAGAGTCCAGAGGTGTGGCGCACGAACAGCTCGGATCAGGCATCTCCGCCATGGATTGCGGGGGGTGGGAATCACATCGCAGCGAATGCATCAGTTGACGAGGTGGATGACGGAAGATGGTGATGCGGCCAGCTCGACCATCTTCCACGTTGATTGTGTGCGATGGCCAGCTGCTTCTGCCAACGAGTTTATGGTGTTGATGGTTAGCTGATCATATCAATTCGCATTATAGCTGTGTGAAACATATTATTATTCGAGTGCATCTCTTGATCGAGTATATTAGCGGTGAGGTTTGACTTAATCTTTGATGAAATTTTGTTTGGGTTTCATGTGCATCGTGAGAAGTCAACATTTAATTTTATCCTCATTAGTGCGATCGAAATTATCCGCTTTCGACCTTCTCAGGATTAAGTGTAATCATTGGTACGATCTTGTAAATTCATGAGAAATCATTCATTTTGGGTCTGTTCGTACGATTTAGTTCTTTCGAGGTCGATGAACCTCAAAAGGAGTCTTTAAAGGTAAGAGTGTCTCAGTCCTTAATTCCTTTATTTCTCAACCAATACGAAATTAAATGTCCTTATCAATGCTTCCCCCTAGAAGAGCCACTGTAATAAGTCAACGTTTAGTCATGACCCTCCTTCTAGCGTCAATCTAATAAGTCAACATTTGATCGTCATTTGTAAGATTATATAGGTATTTTACGTTTGTAAAACTCATGATTTATTAAAAAATATTGATTGATGATCTTTTATTATTAAGGATCGAAAAAGTGAGTTTAACCCGCAACTTAATTAGCTTAGATTTTTTACTTTACTTTGTGTTAATATCGAATCTTCTTATATATGTTAATCTTGATTAATTTGATTTAAACTCAAATTGTATTATCGAAATCTCAATCATCTTGAGTTGATTTTATCGGTTTGAATTAATTTCGGGGAGGAAAAGTTAAATCTTAAAATCATTGATTAGATCCAAACTCATATTGCTGTATTGATTTTTCAAAGCCATGCAGACTGTTGAAACAAGACCCTACTTTATACTTTACCAGAGGGTAATCAAAAGAAGGAAAAATCTTTTATTTATCAAAATTCTTTTATTTTTCAAACTCATAGTGCTTCATCTAATCTGTTGATCAAAATTGAATTGGTTGTCACGATTCTGGCCAATTGTGTTGTGCAAAACAAGATCAATGTCTGTTCAATTGGTGGTGGCTGTCCACCATTGATGCCGAAATGTACGCCGTTATGAAGACTCTAGAAGCTCTGAAGATATACTTCCTAGACAAAAGGGAGATTATTATAAGAACGGATTGTCAGGCCATAATAAGCTTCTTCAACAAGTCATCTCAGAACAAACCTTCCAGAGTCAGGTGGATGGCCTTCGTAGATTATATAACGGGGAGCGGCGTGGACGTCAAATTTGAACACATTGAAGGAGAAACCACCCAGGAAGTACAGGCCAAGCCCAATGCTCGGGTATTGGCTCACCTGAGTCAGATGATAAATCAAGTGACCTCCTCCTACAGTACCAACAAGAATTGGATAAGATCACAGCCGGAACACGTGGAGGACTTTCATTCAACAAAATGGGATTCAGTACTCCTTGAGGATATATGGCTCATCCAAAAATTTGTTTTTCTATTTTGGTTAATAGAACTTCGATTCTTTGGAGCTTTTGATCCAGGTTTTGTGACAGTCTTATAGCTTCTTCTTCAATGAGTCTGGGTTGCTTAGATAGTTCAAT